CTGTCCTGACAGAATAAGATAGTAGCTAATATGATAACAGGAAGAGATGAGATTTAGGTGATCTCAGGGGCTTGTTGGAGAAAATGAAACCAGGTGCTGAGATGACCATCTAATTACATAAAAAAAAAAAAAAGCCCAGACCTGCTGCAAGGGGCCCACCACTTTCTCAGCTGTAGTGAACTTGGAAGTTCATCTTGTTCTCTTTTTAAACTTTTAGAGACTTTTCTGATAGTAATTGTGCTACGTCATGAATCACACTAACCTTAACTCTTCTTACTTGGAGCAGTGGAAGAAGATACACATTGCCACCACAGCTAAGGGGTGGGAATGGAAGTGGGTATAACTTCCAAGAACGGCCGGGATCTCAGCTCAGCTACCCTCTGGTGCAGGGTAAACGTTAGTAAGTTTTTCTTGTTATTGTTTGTATGCTGTGTGTGTGTGTGTGTGTGTGTGTGTGTGTGCGCACGTGTGTGCACGATTATGCTTTTGTTTTGTTTTCTTCCCAGAATTTAAGTTCCTCATTTGTATGGAGTTCCAATTGTTAGGTAGCTAGTTAGTTATTAGCAGGTTTAGCTAGCTGGGTGGAACTCTACCTCAAAATCAGCAGCCTGTAAAACCAAGAACCCAAACTGCAAGACTCTAATTACAGGTCAAGAGAATGAGACCTGAGCCCTAGCAAGAGACATGTTATTCTAAACTTCCTGGGAGGTCATTAATAGATAACCAAGTTCTGTGAAATTCCTGTTTAGCAGCAGGCTTTCTTGTAGTTACCATTGTCCTGTCCTTTAAGAATCAATCCAAGAGGACCTGTCAATCACTTGGATAGGAAACCCACACCATGGGAAAAGCTGTCTGTTCGAGAGACTTTAGAAACAGACTAAAAATTGCCAAAAATGTAGATCAGCATAATGTTCTCTTTGGCCGTTGCCCAGCAGTCACCCCTTAAGAGTGTGTATTGCTCTTCAATGATCCCTTTGGCCACAGGCCACTCTCACCCCTTGAGAGGGCTCTACTTTTCTCTGTAATAAACTCCACCTATCTTCTACACTATGCTCTGTGTGTCTTGTCTGAATTATTTTAATGGAGGTCCCCAGGACCAAAAAGCCATAAGGAATCAGAGGGAGATCCCCAGTGACATAATGTTTAAAGGCTTAAGACCTAATAGCCACATAATAACACCCATTTGCTATTTAGAAATGTATCATTTATTTCTGAGACTCTCACATGCATTCACAAGAGCCACAGCTGCAACATGCCCTATCCTCACATCTGCTGAGCATCTTGAGATAGATGCCTTACAGCTGTTGTTAACCACAGGGAGAAGACAATGCCAGTGCCAAGTGTGCTGAGCAGCCTGAAGATGACTCAAAGTTTTGAAGTAACTGTTATGCAGCAATAGATCATGAGTTCAGATTTTATTTCAGTGATTCTCTTCCATAATAAAACTCTAAAATTGGAAGGATTTTGGACTTGGGCACAAGAAAGAAGCTAGCAGGACACTGAGATGAATATTAGTGAAAAACTGGAACCTCAAAGAAACTACAGGTCAGACCCAAATGGTCTTTGAGATAGCTATAGGGGAGAGCTTAAAGAAAAAAAATGTTATTGGAAACTAGAAGTGGTATTTGTTATATAGAGACAAAAGTTTAGTGACACTGCAAACTACAGTGGTGTGGAAAATAGGAAGTGTGCCTAATCAATTGGCTATTGTAGCCAAAGCCATTTCCCGGTAGAGTGTTGAAGGTACTGCCTGACATCTTTGCAAATGTGAAAAGAGCTATTCTGAAGGAATAACTCTTTAAAAAAAAAGCATCTAGTATGAAAATCTCTAGATAAAGGTGACAAATAATGCTAACAACTCCAGGATGTTGCAAATATCACTGGTGGATTGAGAGTATCCTTTATTTAGAACTCAAAACTGCCCATAGCAGGGATTCAGAGAATCACTCAGACAAAAGCAGTGCTTCAAAGATGCCCCAGGGTGTGAGCCTCAGAGCTTCAGCAGAGGACAGTCTCAGTAGAGATGGGCTTGTTTTGAAAAGATTTGTAGATATGAACTTTGTGAAACAGAATAAACTGAATTATATTTATAGGAGGCTTACTTTTAAAAGTATTATAAGCAAGGCTGGAGAAAGGAAAACAAAGTGGAATTTGGACCTTCTAGATTCTATTGTTCAAAATCAAACTGACAATATTATACAGTTTCAAGAATGTATTACTTTTTAAAAAATTATTTATTTTATGTATGAGTGCTCTATCTGCATGTACACCATGGTTGTGAGTCACCATGTAGTTGCTAGGAATTAAACTAAAGGACCTCTGGAAGAGCAGCCACTGTGCTTAACCAGTTTCTCAAACATGTATTGCTTTAAATGGAAAAGGGATTATGAATCCAACAGGTGAATTCAAGAACTGTAGAAAGTTCTTCCCACATAAGAATAGGCCTGAAAGCCCTACCCAAAGAAATTCCAACATGTATGCAACTGGGCTTAAGGATCCTGATGGACCAGTAACCATTCAGATTCCTATCTTGCATTGGAACAGATTGTCTGTCCCAGCTCTACATAGTCTATCCCACAATTGTATCTGGGGTGGGGGTGGGTGGCTGGGCAATACATGTGTTAAGATGAACAGGAGTTACACTTAAGACATTTAACTCAAAACATTAAACCTGGGAGACTTACATCTTCAGTCAGTTTAGATGACATGACTCTGGGGTGATGGTGTCGTGGGAAGAGATGTCTACTGTGGAAAAAAGTGTGGAAGTTTACTTTTGGGAGATACATAGGTTACTGTTGACCAAAAGGCAGACTATTGCCTCCAGGAAGCTCCCCCAAATTCAAGTCTATGCTTAGAGGACTGGATGGTTCTACTTTCACTGGAGAGGGGAGGAGAGGAGGGGAAGGGAGGGAAGAGGAGGGAAGGGGAGGGGGAGGGGAGGAGAGAAGCTCATTTGACTGAACCCATTAAGCAGGTCACCAGAACTTTATGAAGCTCCTTTTAATGCTTCATTTATATCTGCCTCTAATATTCTCTCCACAGAAGGTTCAAAGAAGAATTGTCAAGTAACACATTATGTTTTGTTAGGTTGAAGTTAAGAAGAACCAAGAGTAATAATGATAACAGCATCTTGTTCTTTCTCTTGCCAAAGACTCTGGAACACATAAATTTTTTGGGGGGGGGTGTTGTACTCGGTATTGAACCCAGGGCCTCTTGCATGCTAGATAAGTACCCTACCACTGAGCTACACTCTCTACAATTTTTCCTAATTTTGTTTTGAGACAGTGTCTTATTACGTTGTTCAGGTAGGTCTCAAATATGCGATTCTCCTGACTCAGCCCTCTAGGTAGCTGGAACCAAAAGTATATACCACTATGTACAGTCAAAAATACTTTTAAAAAAGTATTTTCATTTCAAAGATTCTGTAAATACAATGCCATTGTGTTCCTAAAGCCTAAATAGTTTTATTTTCATCCAGGGAAAGGAAGTGGAAATAAGCAACACACAGGATTCACGGCTCTGCTAATGCTGAAACTTGAGTTGGCACTGGCCAATTCTTTTTCCAGAATGGTGTATCAATCTTTGTTTTGAATGAAGACACAGAAGCAATTTCCAGAGATGAATTGAAGGAAACCAGAAATGTGCACAGAACTTAATTGGAAAAAAATCTATTTTTCCAACATGTTATAGAATTGTCCTGAGGTTTAAAACAAACAAGTAAACAAAAACAAAATCTCAAAACTTTCTAAAAATACATATTTAACAACAGCTGCACAGAGACTAAATACATTATCTTAAGGGACATCAAACATTATTTAAAATGTTTATTAACCTACATCCCTTGATGTTTTTGTGGCGATCTGGAAATCCTAGTTCTCTTATCTACAGAAAACAGAGGCCATCCATGGCCTTCTCTTTCCCTCCCTGCCCCCACTCCTTTCAAAGATAGGGTCTATGTAGCCCTGGCTGTCCTGGAACCCCTATGTAGACGATGCTAGTTTCAATGCTAGCCTCAAACTCAGAGATCGCTCGTCTTTGCCTCCCAAGGGCTGGGATAAAAAGTATGAGTCACATGACCAGCTCCCTTCCATTTTTTCTAACCCACTACTCTTCTGCCCCACTAGATCAAAGTATACCTTTTCCTCTCTCAAATAAAAAAAAATGTTTTCCCTGTTATTGGAGAGACAATCGTAGAGGATAGAGATGGGGACGCCTACATTGCCAGGAGCCCGCCAAAAATGTCTTACATGTTTAACATACGGGATGATCTCAAAGGATTATTGTTAGTCCTAACTACCCTTTGTGTAGTAATCGCTACAGTTTAGACTCCTTTACATTTAAACCACAAATTCCTATGAAGTAGATATTATCATTATTTCTACTTTACATAGTTTTTGTTTGTTTCTTTTTAAAGTGGAAAAACAGAAGGTGAACAGATTTGTCAATGATTACAAAATTAAGTGGTGGCCTTAGGATTTAGGGACTTTAGTAAATAAAGTCCTAAAACATGCTTTGAAAACACCACATATAGATCCAGCATAAGTAAGAGTCTCTTTCCATTCTCTTGGAGCCGGGTCTAAATTTAGAGGGACCCCTTCGTAACTGGGGGCAGGAATCTCACTTCATAAATAGGGTCCTCCTGCACCTGACACAGCTACCACCCAGAGGTTCTGAGTCCCTAGGAGGCTGGAATGCAAATAGACTCTGCAAACAGCACAAAGCATAGTATTACTTTGGATCGAAAATGCTGCCTGTTTGCTCAGCCTGACTCTGAGGGAGCCTAGTAGAACAAACAACGGGCCTTTTGGGGGCCTTGTGGAAATCCCAGGAGAGGAGGTTCGGGCTGATAAAGAGCCTTGGGCCCGGGCCCCTTGAAGAATCCTGGGACTGTAACGGGGCGGGGACAGAATGACACTAGAGTGACATAAGTCCGCAGGGACCTCAGGCTAGTGGTTTCTCGGTCAGGTTGACACCTCCAGGGAGGGCGTGGGGAAGGCGGGGCCCATCGCCTTCTGCTCGGTGAGGGGAGAGACTGCGTTGGAGCTTCTCCTTCCGGGGGGATGCTCAGCCCCGCGGGAAAACGCAGAAAAGGGCTCTTGCCGCTTTAAGTGACTCAGGAAGTGAAAGGAGGCCGCTGACGGCGAGGGGAAAGTGGAACCGGGGCGGCGCGGGCCCGCGGCGGCCGCGATCTTGCCGGGCAACGGAGGCTGAGCTGCGCGGCGCGGGGGCCGACGGGGCGCGGGCAGCCGAGCCGGAAGTGGCGCGTGAGCGACGAGGCGCAGCGCGGCGCGCAGAGGAGAGGCTGAGTGGGCGCCGGGCCCAGCGCTGTCGGCTGGCGGGCCCCAAGGCCTCAGCTGTCCAGACGGACGCGGCGCGGCGCGGCGGGGCGGGCGGTCAGTCCCCGGGGAGGCGGGCCTGCGTGGGGAGGCCCCGAGGCGTAGGCGGAGGGCTCGTCAGCCGCTAGGCCTCGGCCGCGTCCCTGCAGCCACATGGCCTCCGGAGTGGGCGCGGCCTGCGAGGAGCTGCCTCCCGACGGCACGTGTGACGAGTGCGAGCCCGACGAGGCGCCCGGGGCGGAGGAGGTGTGCCGCGATTGCGGCTTCTGCTACTGCCGCCGCCACGCCGACGCGCACCGCCAGAAGTTCCTCAGCCACCGCCTGGCCGAGTACGTCCATGGCGCCCAGGCCTGGACCCCGCCGGCCCGCGAGGACGACGTGGTCCCCGAAGACGTCGAGGCCAAAGGGGAGCCCGAGGGGGAGGTAGAGAGCGAGGTGGGGGAAGAAGAGAGCGGGTCGGAGGAAGACAGTGGGTCGGAAGAAGAGAGCGAGACGGAGGAGGACAGTGAGGATGAGAGTGATGAGGAGAGTGAGGAAGACAGCGAGGAAGAGATGGAGGATGAGCAGGAGAGTGAGGCGGAGGACGACAACCAAGAAGGAGAGTCTGAGGCGGAGGGAGAAACTGAGGCAGAAAGCGAATTTGACCCCGAAATAGAGATGGAAGCGGAGAGAGTGGCCAAGAGGAAGTGTCCGGACCATGGGCTGGATTTGAGCACCTATTGCCAGCAAGACAGGCAGCTCATCTGTGTCCTGTGTCCAGTCATTGGGGCTCACCGGGGCCACCAGCTGTCCACGCTAGATGAGGCCTTCGAAGAACTGAGAGTGAGTATTGGGCATTAGAACATATGTCTAAGGGGACCAGGACCCCGGTTTCAACTCATGGTAGCCGTGACCATATTCATTTTCATGTCTCTTGTTGGGAGCAGTGCCCAAGCTACCATTTGGTTGAAATTGTCAAGTTGTCGATTCTCATCTGAGAAAATGCAAGCACACAGAAAGTCTTGGGTATAAGTTCTGCAAATTTGCAAATCGCTTTCTCCCTGGATCCCAGATAGAGCTTTCCTTGAGAATTTTGACGCCTTTTAGGCCAATTTTCACATCATCACCACTGCTAGGATCAGTGTTTTGACTTAGAGCTCTTGTTGTGGCAACCCTGCCCGCCTGAAAATGTGAGAAACCATGACTTTTGACAAGCCAAGTGGTGATGTAGACAATGACTTGGTGTGTGCCCCGAGTCGCCCTAGGCTCCTTGCTTTTCAGACTTAGTAGGAAGGTGTATAACTGGAAGGCTAAATTGATGTGTGGAGGGAGGTTTTCATGTCTACTGTCTAGACTGGGATGTATTATCTTGGACCTGTTTTTTTGTCCGCAGTAGACATTTAGTAAATATTTGTTGATTGCATTCGGGTTGCCTTTTATGTATATAGTGGATAGCTACATCAATAAGAGAACAGTTTTTCTGTGTGCTGTATTCAGTAAGTAGTGAGAGTTGGTAAGTGTTATATTATGGCTTTTGTTTCCCTAAGCAACCACTGGTCTCAGAATAACTAATGTTTTGATAATGAAAATACTCCGTGTTGATATTTCCCTTATTCTTATTTTTATTGTAAAATACACATTCAGAAGTGTATAAAATATGTAGGGTAACAAATAACTACAAAGCAAATACTTGTGAGACCTCCACTCAGAAATAGAACATTATTACCTCTTTCCCACGTCATCTTTTGGTAAGCCTTTTCCTGACTTTGAGATAATACTTTTTTTGTTTATCTTTATGTGTTAATCATTTGTGTGCATTTCTAAACTTGAACTTGACATTATAGTTTTTACATTATTGTGGTGCAGTATTTTGAGTTTGATTCACTTTTTTAAAGATGTGTGTGAGATTCATCCATTGACTGGCTGTAACTTAATTTTTATTGGTGTATTGAATTCTATTTTATGTATATGCCACAAGTTACTATATACATGAACATTTGGCTCGTTCTCAGGTTCTGAAATTTCTCGCTGTTACAGCTAATGCAGGAGTGATTTGGTTGTGCATGTCTGTAATTCCAGCATTCCAGAGGTTAATGCAGGAGGATCAGAGTTCAATGTCAATCTGAAGTCCATAGTGAGTTTGGAAAATACTGCCACAAAAACAAAATGACACATCCCCTCAAAAATAATGAGGTGCAAGCATTATCATGCCTTTTGATACCCATTTTCCTATATTTAAGTGGAAATAATAACCCATTGCTTCCCAAGTGGTTGTGAAGCTGTTTCCTGTTGCCCTGAGTCTTCACCATCACTTGATATTAACAGTATTTTTAATTTTTCCAAGTCTGGTGATTATGTAACAAATGGTGTCATATTGTGGTTTTTAATTGCATTCCTTGGGTTTCCGAGTATCTTTTGTATTTCCTCTTTTGTGATGTACCATCAGATAGTATTAGGTTATCTGTCGTTTTTCTCTGTAAGTTATATGTGTGTATACACACAGATATACACGTGTGTATATATGATGTTTATTGTGTCCATCCTTTGAGATATCTTGTTTCATAGGTTTTCTTTTCCTTTTGTAATGTAGTAATAATAGGGTGAAGATTGTGTACGCAGTAGATAGGCAAGTCTTTATCAGAAGATGAGAAAGCAGAAGGTAAAGAGGATGGTTTGGTTCCACTTCAGTCTCAAATTGAAAGTTATCTTCTTGTTCAATCTGAGATGGCAGCTTCCTTTCCTGCATTTCTTCTTCTTGCTTGGCTACTTTAATATCAAAATCTGGAGCTGAACTGTTGGGTGGCAGCAATGAGCACAGGCACTCAGGGACCTCTCTGAATGGAAGATAGAGCGTAGTCAAAAGATCAAAGCTTTAGTTCTGGTGAGATGAGAGATAGAAAAGCCTGGCCCAGGGGAGGCAGGTCCTCAGAGATAGATAGATAGATAGATAGATAGATAGATAGATAGATATTTAAAAATATATAGTTTTTCTTTCTTGTGGGTTTGAGTATTTAGAGGAGAGGTGTGAACAGTTGCTTCTTGGCCTTTTGGATAACATCAAGTGTAGAGGAGAATTACAAACAGTATGACATTCTGTGTGAATTTAGAGAAAGAAAGTGGTTTTAGCCAGAGGTATGATACCAGGAATGGCTATTGGAGGAAGTGGTGTTTGAGACATACTTTGAAAGATGGGAAGGATTGAATAGGTAGGTATGATGTTAGATACATCTTCTCCATGATGCCATAGCAACAATCACTATGCATTTATTGTAACCCAAAATATTTGTTATTATGGAGTGTTAGGTCTGTTTTCTCTGTGTTATAAACTCTTACAAGTCTAGTAGTGTTAGTCTTCACTGTGTTCCAGCACCAACACAGGGCCTATTGGATAATTGACACATACAAAATTCTTGATAAATGTATGATATGAATGTATTAATTTTATCTAATAGCAAGGCATCACTAAAGAAGTGAGAAGGAGATTGTATTATAGTATATTAGTATTTATGTTGGGAATAACTTCAACTACATAAAGTGACGGAATAACTTGGAATCCTAAACTGGCAGTAGTTCATACAGGATGGATGCTTGTTTCTCCTTGTGTAAATGATGTCTGAATGTAGGCAGTCTAAGCCTGGAGGAAGCATCAAGGTTTATCTTGGCTCTGTTTTTTTTTTTTTTTTTGGTTTTACGAGACAGGGTTTCTCTGTATTGTTTTGGAGGCTGTAGGTCCAGCCTGGCCTTGAACTCACAGAGATCCTCCTGCCACTGCCTCCTGAGTGCTGGGATTAAAGGCGTGTGCCACCACCACCTGGCTTATCTTGGCTCTTGATAGCTCCTCGCTGTTATTTTTGTTACAAACTAAGATGGCCACTGAAGTCTAACCAGTATGTCTTTCTTTGTTTTTTTGAGAAAGGATTTCTCTGTGTAACAGGCTGGCCTGGAACTCACAGAGATCCACCTGTCTCTGCCTTCCAAGCTCTGGTACTAAAGGCATGTGCCATCACTACCTGGTTTAGCCAACACTTCAAACTTCTAAGATAACAGACATAACAGTGAAAGACATACCCCTCTATTTTAATGCATCTCTCCAGAATTCCCACTTAGGTTTCATGGGGCAGAACTCAATCATTTCTCCAGGCTATAGTATGACAAGCTAAAAGGTGGCATTTTGTTACAAGGAAGAATGGTATAGTGAATATTGAAGTCTTTGTCTTGATTATATCCTCACAGCCCTAGCTATGTCATGTTGGGTAATTCAGTCTGCTTCTCTGAGCCTTCGTTTCTTAACATGAGCATAATTGTTGTGTGTCATGTACTGCCCCCCTGGTGCTATGGTAAAGAGAAATAAGCTCCTCATACATACTGCCTAGAACAGTACACATGATATTATAAGCTCTCAGAAACTGATTACTGTAGAAAGAAAGCTATCTGAGGGCAAGTTAGTCTGGCAGCAGTAGATGTTCTGGACACTAAGTTTTCTTTGGTGGAAACTGCTCAGCCCCCTCTCCTTGTGTTCTTTCTTCCTGCTCTAATCTGCTGGGTTGATAGGCTGTTGAAAACTTGTCTTCAGAGAAGATGTTCCTGGATGTTTCAGTGTCCCACTGGCACCTTATGTATTGGCTACTCAAAACACAGCTGCAAGGTCTTATTTTAGGTTTACAGGTTTGGCTGTTCTCTTTAGACTCTGTTTTATACTCTTAACTGTGGGAAGTTTCTTACAGAAGTCAAGGGGCAATGGGAACAATTTATTCTCTACTTTCTGGGTAGAGAAAAGCCTTGGTTACTCTAGTAGAGAGTGATGAAGAGAAGTTTCTATAGATATCCCTATTCTTCTAGGACTTTGGGTCTTTATGAACCTTGGCAGGGTATACGTTGTGTTGAATTGCAGATTCTTACACAAGAATTGTAGAGAGTAAAAATGCTGGCATTTGTATGGAGATAGAACATTAAAAGAGTTTAAAGTTTGTTGAAGTTTGAACCTCTTCTAGAGATAAAGGAAAAGGAAAGTAATAGCTGCCATTTATTGAGAAGTTTGGATACATTTCATGTTTTTACAGGCTATGTTGCTCTGATTCCCATTTTACAGAAGTAGGAAGAGATATTTAAAGAGGTTGAATTTTGCCAGGCCACTCAGTGTCATTGCTGAATCACAGTTTTTACCACAAAGAGAATAAGAGTTTATTCCAGAGCCAAGTATGAGTGACCATTGCCCAGGAGCACAGATTCAGCTTGCTCTGAACATCTTATTCCAACATAGTAACAGTTTTGTGAAGTGTTGACAAAGTCAATAAAAGTGTCTTAAAAATTCATTGGTGGGAACATCTGGTCCACAGGTTACAGCAAAGTGGGAAATTTCTGCTATAGACCTCAGATGCTATTTGATAATATTCTTAGCCTTTGTAGAAATTAAAGTTTGTATGTTTCAAAAAAAGATCTTGCCTGATAGTCACAAGGGTGCTAGTTCAAAAACAGTGATGGGCAATAAGTAACTACACAGGGTTGAAGAGAGCACAAAATAATTTGACTTCAAACTAGCAACATTCCTGCTCTCCACAATCACAGGAGTTCTAATGGGCCTTGTAGAGTATTTAACAGTTGGGGCGTTTTTATTGTTATTGGCTACTTATTTTTGTTTGTTTGTTTCAGGGAACTTCAGTTCACAGTAGTAAGTAAAAAGAAGGATTTAAATTTAGTTCTGACACCAGAACTTCCTATTCCTTTTATTCTGGGTGTATTCTCAGTTGAAATTCTTCCTCTCACTTAAGCTTTTTAGATTTCACAGAACTATTCTCCCTGTTGACTGCTGTCTGCAGGGATGTACTTCATAAATAAATACTTTC